TACTTCAAAAACAAAAAAAGGTCTCTTTTTATTTTTCTCAAACCAGAAGTTCATTGCTGTTCTTATCAAACCATTATTCAAACATCTAAATAACTTTTTAACAACAGACAGCAAGAGCTGCGAGTAAATCAGGTATACTCTACCTGTAAATAAAACTCTAGCTAACTAGTTTTGCATTTCTTTAATGCAATTTTATTAATATAGCTAGTCTAACTAATTTCTTTTAAAAACTATTTGTCTTGCTCCACCTTAAATGGTTTAACAAGGGGATGAGGCTCTGTCACACTAGACAATTTATGCCAACTTATGAAACTTTTTAATGTCTAAATTGCTAATAAAATTTGATCAATTTGTTAGAATTACATTATGTACATGCCGAAAAGARGCTTCCTGTTGATTTTTTTCAATTCCAGCTTCAATGTAGATGTCTTTAAAATGTTCAGAGGTTGGCACAAGTTGTCTAGTGTGACAGGGCCTTTAAATAAACAAGTACCTAACCAGGCAGCTGCAATAAAAAATTATTAGCTGACAAGTTTCTTTAACAGGTGTCAGCTGATAGTTTGTAAATCACTGATGATTCAAACTGTTTCCTGGAGCTTTGGTTGCTTTCAGCACCTGAAGCTGTACTTCAACAGGTGAATGGTGAGGAACTGAATGTTGCAGCAGGTTCCACAGGACAATATGAGGACAAGAACAACAAAAAAACCGTCTACTTTTTAATATCAGTTTTTAAAATGGAATAAAAAGTCACCAAAAAGTACATTTTCTAATCTGCTGAGTGCATATAGCTAACAGAAGATAAAGTTGAACTATTCACACTAAAGTTTGACAACTTTACCATCATAAAAAAGAACAGCTGTCAGATGTGTGTAAAGGTACTGATACCGTGCTGATGTGAGATCGTAAACCACAGAATCCCTCCCTCAGATCAGACATGACTCAAACCATGTTTTTCCACACTTGCTTGACTTTGTGAACTTTGCACGCTCACACATGAGTGGATCTATGTGCACCAGTGTTGTGATGTGTGTTTACAAGACTGGCTGCAAACAATGAAATCAGTTATACTCTATTGCTCCTCCCTCACGGGCCACTGCGTCGGCGTGACATCATTTAACCCCTCCTACAACTCAGACACGACTTCAGCCTAAACCACAGAGAAGCACTGTTGAGTCGTATCTAAAGGACACACTAGTTAAAACCTGAAAAAAGTTAAATATCTTATAAGGAAGAGCTTCCTCCAGCTCTCTGCAGCCTCCACGATGCTGCATGTTTGATTGATGGGCCTCAGGGTGCACTTATTCTGCTGTGTACCTAATCCCAACGTATGGGATTGCACCGACGCTTCATTAAGAGCCTGCAGCGGCACAGTGCTGCGGTTAAGGAAATGATCCAGAAGGAGGAAGGTCACTGGTACAAATCCTCCTGAGGTTTGCTGCTCTGCGTCTCAGCCGTACGCACCATGTTCAAGGTAATTCATGAGCGCAGGACAGGTTATCCAGGGGACCAACATCTGTTCTAATCAGCCTGCCTGAGACAAAGTCAAACTTGTTTGTGTGACCCAAAAGCACCCAAAAGTAAATATGTGAAGTTAAGAACATCTTTGGTGTCTGCTGGACTGAAACACTTATGTTTTTGTATGTTTGACAGAAAAAAGGTAAGAATTTCTGCCAGCTCCAGCAGTCATACAGCCTCAGCTGCAGCCAACTGGATTGCTTGTTGGACCAGTGACTRATGAGTTAATTAAAGTGGAAGAAACAGTGAAATAAAGGAGATGAGGCACCATTTATTTATCCTGTATTGACTATATCACCTCACAGCACATTCACTAAGAGACTCAATGTCCTTTTGATGAAGGAAATAACGAAAGATTGAAGTTGTCAAACAGACAGTTCAGACTTGAAGAGCTGCAGAAAGAATGAACCTCTTTGGGATTTGTTTAAAGGTGAGAGATGAATCAAAATGCATGAAATATTTATACTTTTAACATTTCACTCCAAATGCACCACATGAGATCGATTACTAGGATCGTTTTATCTCTCAGACTGAAATATATTTTGTGTTCTACAATATTCTGTTTGTGGCTAAATTAAAACTTGTATTTAATTAATAAAACCATGTTTGAATGAGTCTCTGTGTTATTCTCGCCCAGCAGGTAATGAATGGTATTAACGGGATCATTCTGACCACAGGTGATTGTGTTTGAGTGCGAGACCCTTCACGCAGGTCTGAAGGTAATCTGAGCCCAGGCTGGCGACAGGTGCTGCGGGGGGAGAGGTGYAGGAGGTGCAGGGAACGTGGAGCGTCGGTACGGAGAGCGTGCCGAGACGGATTAGGGCTTAGTTTGGGAGTGGGAGGTGTGGGGTGGGTGTTGTTCTCGGTGCCCAGGTGGCGCCGGAGGAGAGGACAACACGTCCGCGTGATTTTTTTTTCTGTCTGTGAGCTGCGTCTTATGTGCTGCCTGGCAGGAGAACACAGTGAACCCAGATCTGAGAACAATTAGATGCCGTCCAACCATGGCTGGATTTGCATGAGCAGCAGCTCCAACTGTGGCAGAACCGACACAGAATCACAGGAAAAACCGACGGGGAGGGAACTGTTTCAGTCCCTCGTTCTCCAACACAGGATTCTATTTATATTTTATCTTTACATTAAATCATTAGAAACAAGAAAATTGCATTTTCTGATGTTGTCTTCTATATTTTATCTCTTSTGCTCCTTTCCTGCATATCTGACAACCACATTTAGATAAAGACTCAGGTGTTGCTGATTTGTTATCAGATGGTCAGCTGATCCAACGGCGTAAAATAAACACATCWTCTTTTTTAATAACGGCTCTGATAAACATCTCATGTATCAAAGGTGAAATTTTCAAAACCAATCCAAACTGTTAAAGGGGACGTATGCAAAATCCACTTTTTTT